GAACAAATTCCCTCTTTTGATTTATTTTGCTGTGATACTGCCTTCATTCAAATGTCTATTTTAAAATTTTCTCTTGTAATCTGTCCTTACATGTTTTTCTTTCTCTCTTAACCTCTCTTTATTTTTCAGGCCGGGAGGTGCTTAAGCATTATTGTTCATTTTATTTCTTTAACTAGTACATGGGCATAATCTAAATCTCTCTCAGAGTTGCTACCTGTCTTTTATGTTCTCAGCCATCAGCACGTTTTCAGGGAACCACAGTTTTATTTTATGGATAAAGCGGGAGGCACAAGGAGTCCTGTTACAGAGCAGGTGTGGCGACGAATTAGTCAGGGAGCTATTGCTGAATTTAACTCCAGCAGTGCTCCCCTCTGAACTGTTAGCTACTATCTGTTTCTGCCCTTTCCAGGGCCGTTCGTGATCATCTGAAGAGCAACTTTATTTTTTCCTGAGATGTGTAGGTAGTTTGGGAGCGTTATTGTGAAAAATGGATGAAACATCAGACCAATTGTATGATCAAAGGCAAAAGAGCTTCAGTGATAACATTTCCTGCATGCACGCATGTGTTTTTGGACGTGAGGCCCTGGCTGAATATCCTGTTGCTTACTAGCAAATGTTTTGTCTCCGTGTCAATGACAGAATTTTAATTGCATTTCTCCCTGACATTAGATACGTAGTCTAAGAAACTGATGTTGCGCTGCATCTGGAAGCTGATGTGAGACTGAAATGACACATCCTTTGCTGTGGAATATTTGTCTCCAGCTGTTCCTTGGTGGGGTGGGTTACGGAGGCTGCACCTGTGCCCCCGGGGGTAGTGGCAGCCGGGGAGGATTCCCTGCCGTAACATTTGTCTGTGAAACGCATACTTTCTCCCTGAGGAAACGGGCTTATGTCAACAAAAATGGAAACTTCAAAAAATACATATATGTAGTGCTGGGAAAAGCTAAGCATCGTTGCTCTTAAATGTGTGGGGGGATTAATTTCATGTGCCATATCCCTCACACACACATTCTTCTTCTTTGCCAAAAGCTGGACGTAATTGGAAGCCTACAAATGTCCATAGTTGCCAGACAGCTTAAAATTGAGATACTGTGAAATGCAAACAAATGGAAATGTTTCTCTCTTGTGTAAATATGCCAGAATTACTAAGCATTAAATACCGATTGCAAGGAGATTTGTTTAAGATGGTCAAAGGTGAACCTGAGGTGGTTCTCGTGTACACACTTGGAGCAGGAGTCCAGTGAGAGCAGCCTGGGCAAGCGGGTTCTGCTCCGCAGGCCGATGCGGCACCCCCATGGTTGGCTGGCGTTGCGGCAGCTTCCGAAAATAGCTGTAGGAAGATATAATCCTTCATGTAGATGCCCTCACATAGGCGGAAGAGTAATTTCTATTCATACAACTTATTTCCTTTTCCAGATGGAAGTAAATCATACTGCTCCGAAAAAACATTTCTGTTGATGTAGTTGTGTCTGCGCTAGGGAAGGCCCTGGTTTAGCTAGGTGGGCAGAACACAAGGAGCTCCAAGATGGAGAGGGGACGTGACGAGTCTTGCTGGCGTTCCTACTGTCAGGGCATTGGTGGCTTGTGAAGGAAAATTACTTGCATGCACCTAGGTTGTTCTTCTGCTTCCTTGCATTTTCTTTTTACATTCAGATACTGCTTAAGTACATCGAGGCAAAGTGCAAAGGAGCCTGAGAGGCTCAGGCCATGCGGAGTCTGTTGTCGTCTTTGCTGAAAGTCTGCCAGGTAAGTAATTTTTCTTCTGTGCCTCTGTTTACCATCCCCTCTTTTTTTTATTCTTAGTTGTTTAGCTTACATGGTCTTCAGAACGTGTACAGTTCATAACTATGTGTCAGTAGAGTGCCCAGGATACTAAAATACTGATTTTTGCCAAGGGGAGAGGGTAACGTGGCTACCAAATAAATTAGGAAGAGATGGCTAAACTAAGCTTAGCTGCAGCCTGAAAATAAAGAAAATTGTGGTTTTTACAAGAAAACTTGTGTTTTACCGGAACTGTACCTTACAGACTGAAAATATAAGCCTCCTTTACAAAAAGGCAATTGTACCATTACCATTTTTGTGAATGCATCTGGCCAATGTTGAAGTGTATCTTATCTTTTGTTATAGATCAAAATGTTTTTGAGTGATCTCTTCTGACCCACCATCGCCCCTCTTCGTTTAGCATTCAATTCTTCAATTCTGTCAGCCCCTTCAAAATGTAGAGTTCTCCTATACTGCCATTAAGTTGAATAATACATGCATATGATTTAATCCAAGCTGTCTCCAGCAATTAGTTGCCTTCTGGAGAGTATCCAGATGTTGCTTGAAAAGAGATGACTGGGAAAGAAATAAACAATTTCACTTGACGAATTGGCCAGTGTATCTTTTTGTCTCAGCCATCTTCCACTTTGAAAATCTTGTTCAAATAAAACAGTTGTGCTTGACACATAAGTAGGTTTTTGGTTGTGGTTTGTTGTTTTTCTTTCATCCATGAAGCTCAGAGCTTTGTATAAAGATGGTAAAACATAATAATTCTAGGCAAACAGAAGTGGAAACTGGGGTGCAGCCCATGGATTAAACTCATTAGAAAGGCAAAGAGAGAAACCCAGGTAGTCTGGAGTATTTGGCCTCCTCTAAATGCTAGCAAGATTCATCTCTGCATTAGCCATCCTTTCTGCAAAACAGAAAATGTTTCTGCTCAGAATGCAAAAACATGCCTAAAATGTAATGCTCTATGTACGACTTTGGGCTACCAGGTGGGCAATGATGCTTTCCCACTGTAAGAGCAGTAAATGTGAGAAAAATAAATGGCTAGTTCAATTTTGCAAGGAAGGTGCTGCGGCGTCACTGCAAACTCAAGGAGCTTGGTATTCCTGAAGTGTTTTTACATGATTATTTTTTAGGTTCGCTCTTCAGTTATATAACAGCATATGCTTTCCCTATTTACAACGTTAAAATAGACCAAGATTAAAAAAAACTACTCCCACTGCAAATGATACGGCACTGACATCTACTACTGATACACCGATGTCTTTTTCCACCAAAGGCAGCTAGGTGCTGCCTCAATCTGCCACGAAATGTCTGTAATCTCAGAGCCATAAAGTATAGCAATGTGCAAGGAAATGAACCCAAAGAAGCAGCATCTGCTCAGCAATCAGAATTTGGAGATTGTCCCTTAAAGTGTTGGTAGCTTCCTGGATCTTCCTAGTGTTCCCAGTGGATATTTTGGGTTGGAAGAAAGAAATGCCTTAGTTAAGCCTGAAGGCACCTGTTGGAAAGTGTCCCAAAACATGGGGATTGCCAATAGCGGGAATCGGTCTATACTGGTGGCGGATGTTTTATGCTCAATAGTGACTGGAATGAAAATTTCCCACCCAGGAACTGTCAAGTACAAGATGTCTGCAGTGTATTAAGAGCTTTAGAAATAAAATACTAGGTTGTAATAGGGGTTTGCTTTATGTGAAGTTTCTCGTCAAAATAATTTTGAGGAAGAATTGTTTTCCTTTCTTAACACCTGTTTTTTGACATTTCTGAAAAGGAAAAGCTTTTTGTTGTTGTCAGAATGACTCTGTTATGAAATGTAGGTGTACGTAGGGTAAGAAAGAAGTTATAATGAATGCGTTTGAGGGATTCGTGCGAAGAGTTCTTGCACATGAAATAAAAAAGTACGTTCTAGCACCTCTCAAACTTCCCATGTCATAAACAAATGTGGAATTGGAAAGGGCAAATTCTCAGCTGTGCGCCGGGATTAAGACAAGCAGCAAAGCCCATCTCCTCTCAGCTCCACCCTGTGCCCTCCCCTTCCCCAGCACCGCCGCTGCCGTGAAGATTTTAAACTTCAGCCAGTCGCCATACCAAATCCCAGACCTGAAACCAGCGTGATGCTGCGGACACGAGGAGTCTGTCTTTTTGGTGGACGATGGTTTTGAGAGAGTGTGGTGCCCATTTGCATCTGTGCGGAGGTTTGGACAGCCACGAAAAGGCCCTGGTAGAGATGAATTGGTGGGCAGGGAGCAGGTGATGAGGTTAAAAGTCCACGATGGCTGTAGTTTGTCACTTGGATATCAGTAATGCGGACATGCCTCTGTGTGTTTGGATTCCAGACACACGTTATCTGAATACGCCTGTCTAAATCAAGTGGCTGCTCAAAACCTTTACCAAGTGTCCTCAGCCAGAAACCCCCGAGCCTCCCGCACTCGCCTTCAGCGCGCGTCGGGAACTGCTGCGGCGGGTTGCAAAGCGTTGTACTTAGGAAATGAAGTCTGGAGAGAAATGAGTCTTCTGTGCGATTATTTCATACTTTTTGGCTTCTCTGATTCAGTCTAGCGCTGAACCTCTCCCTTCTCTCCCCCTTCCCGTTAGCCCCACGAGGCCTCCCTGACCTTACAATCCACCCACGGTTTCCATGTTACTGTCAGCCTCCTTACACTTGACTGATGAGAAATATGTGATTATTCAACACATCATAAAAACAGCCAGAGCAAATGAAGGAGAAATCTGGAAAGTATTTATAGAAAATCTGTAAACAATCATTGCAATTCAGCTATTCAAAGCTGTGCACACATTAGCTTATTAGCTCTAGAGCTGTCAGATGTTCTTTGGTTCTTTCACCTTTTTTAAAAATTAGGAACTGATTTGTTATACTCCCAGCCATTTTGTATTTCATAGAATTCTGTTTGCAGAAACAAGTTATTTTTTGAGCTACAATAACCAAGATTATTTTTTTTCCCTTATGACTACACATCATTTCATTGACTTCAGAGGTTTGACAAGCACTGATTCACTGACATTCCCTGTGTGCTAAAACGCTTCTTGAGGTGACTTCAAGCACATGCATCTGTTTGCTGTGTACAGCTCAACATCAAATTCAGGTAAGTAGGAAGGAGGAGGTGAGAAAGAAGCAGCCGTGAAATTCTTCTGGAAAGTGACACAGTGCAACGGTGGGACACGCATTGCAAAGTCTCTCTTCTCTGCAAGGGGCAGGGGTGTTTCTTACTCACCATAGCGTGATTTAACCAGAGCGGGATGACTCCATCAAGGCTTTTGGGGTAAACCAGCTCTCGATTGTAAGTATACAGTGTCCAAAAGGATATAGACACAAACTGGAACCAAAACACAAAACGAAAGAAATTTTAAAATGAAAGACAAACATATTTGATAGGATTTGGCTGGTGCTTTCATTTCTGAGAAAATGAAATTTCACCTACATGAAAAAATGGTGATATTGCTAGATAAACTCATGTATCCCACATCTTACAACATAAAGAAAGGAATTTACTCTGAGGTGCAGTGTTCTGTGTTGATTCTGCGAGAAAAACCTCCTTTATCAACTGCCAACACTGACGTTTTCTGTGCAACGCTAGATTAGGTTGAAACTCCCCCCCCGCCCTGCTTTGCAGATGGGATCTTTTGATGGTCCAGGAGTTCTTGAGGGACTGGCTGTCAAACCACAGCATTTGTTCTGCTCAGTGACAAAGTAAAAACAGATCTTGGTAAGACAATTCACATAAAACTTATCCTCATCTTCACAGTTCATAAGCCTGATTCCTAAACTGCAGGTGCAAGCTGCACTGCAGGCATCCTTTTTTTTTTCCCAACAGAGGAGGATTTACAGAAGAACGTAACTGGAGGAAACGGTCCCTGGTAGCCGTTACTGATACCTGGAAGTTGATTTTGCACTTTCTTGGCCTGGCTTTGTATTTGAGCGCAATTTGTGGTTGGGGTTGGAAATCAGGGGTGTGAGATGCTGGAAGAACGAGCCTACCCTGTGCCTCTGTCCCGCAGGCATGGCGAGGGTGCCCGGGGCGGGATGTGGCAGCAGCATCACGAATACTGCTGTGCAGGGAAGATAAATTAGCCAGCCTCTCTGTCTCCATCCCTGGCAGGGCTTTTTGAGTGAGCCAGCTGGCTGAGCTGCTTGTGGAGCAGATTTAAGCAGCACTTCTCAGCCCTTTGAGATTCAGAGGTGGCTGCCGGCTTCACTCACACAGAGCGGTACCCGTGTGTGTAACCCACCCACCGGTTCCCATCCAACACACAGCACCAGATAAACAGCATTGTCTGTGAGGGAGTAGGTGATCTGTGGTGAATATGACGTAGGCTGTGACTATAATTATTGTCCTGCGAATCTGTTTTTATCCAGTGCTTATTTAAAGCCATACTGGCGTCAGAGAAGGAGGCGTGAGATTTTGCTGCCTCTTAGGTACCCTCTCATGTCCTCCTGGCCCCTGCTGCCCCTTAGAGAAATGCCCTAAGTCGATAAATCCACAGCTATTTGGACCGTGAGATTAACGGAGAGGTTACGCCTCGTTCACCTTTGGGGTCAATCTGTGTTCGCTTGGGGACAGCCACCCTAAAGTTTGTGCAAGAGGCTTTGCATTCAACCATGACAGGCTCAGCACTATGTCTTCTTCTAAACAGTCCAAATCCATTTTCAAATAGTAAAAGAAAGTCTACAGTTCTTATCTATTTTATACACGTGTGTTATGCTATACACCTCTAATCAGTTACGCAAACATTATTTTTACATACAGAGGTTACTTACTGTGGACACTGGGAAAGCCAGGACACTGAAAAGAAGGTCTCTGCTGGAAATTACGCACTTAGCACATCGACGTTTCTTAATTAGTCTCAACACATCAGCCAGGAAGGACACCCCGTAGAAGACAGCCTGCAAAACCTAAAGTAATTACACCTAATGAGAGAAACTCATCTAGCTTTCATTAGCACTTTCCTCAATGAACTCTGTTCTTGCTCTTCAGGGAGCTGTTTTGTTCGTGAGCTGCAAGCCCGTGTGAGGGAAATAGCTGTCAGCTAAATCTCTTTTGCTAACTGAAACTGATTAAATAAAGTTGTTGAGGAGATAACTTTAGCAGTATCTTGTTTAATAGACTAAACAGAGATGTGTGATGTGATTCAGATGGGAGAGGTGGAAGGATGTGTTGAAAGCCAGCTCCTTCACAATTCCTATGTTAATTGTTGTGTTCAATGTATCTCGGCAGGAGCAGGAGACAACAAAATATGCCAGGAAATGTTTCCTGTAAAACAATTGCTAGATAGCTTCTCCCACCATTGAGCCAGCACAGGGCCTTCGTTCTGGAGACTCATGGCGCAGTTATCTCAGTGTCAAGTAGCTCAAAATGCTCTAACACGAGAATTAGGTGCAGAAGTTATCAAAACCAGAACCTCTTTTGCTGAACTCGGAGGGATTCAGGAAAGGATTTCAAGTACTTAGAAGAGAGATCCAGACTTCACTAACTAAGACCGAATAAGTTAAACTACTTATAAGTAATGAATTTTGGAGTTGGGGAGGGTGGGGTGGGTTGTGTTTGGGGTTTTTTCTGTCTTTAAATAATTTACAAGTCATGAGGGTGGGGTTGTTTGGGAAGGATGCTACAAGGATTTGGTAAAGAATTAGGTAAGTGCACAGTGACAAAACAGAATTCCGCAAATTGTGTATGAAATTGTCAGAATATTGTGGTTTAAGCCAATACTGCTTTTCTGATTGCTTTGTTTTCTGTCCTAATGCTACACAGCCAATCATGCTGAACCAGATTTGTCAGATGCACGGAGGCAAAGCCTGGCAGAAAAATACTTCTCCCGCTACCTTGTGTTCAGCACGGAGCCTGGTTCAGTTCTGTTAACTCATGGGGTGGCCTCTTCTTTTTAAGGCTAGGTTGTCCCAGAGGGATGCAACATGCGAAACGCAGCCTACTGCAAAAGCTGGACCAGCTAGCGATGCTTGAATGGAAAGAGGCTGTGTTACAGCTTTCAGGATGAGATCTCTTTTGCCATGATCTTACTCTGAATCAGATATTTATTTAGAGAAAAGTGTCTGAAGTTGCAGCCAGTTACTTCATCGGTTTCTGAAGGAGCTGAGAAGGGTGGTGCTTGGGAGGGGACAGAACTAGGGCAATGCTTTTCCATTAGAAATTCCTCTATTATCAAAATATCTGAGGGAAGGAGGGGACTATGATTTCACCATGACCGTTGTCAAACAAGGGTTTCTGCAAGCTTTAGTTTGCAGGGACTGAGTCTTCCCAGGTTGCAAAATGCCTGTAGTTTGCATGCCCCAAGCATCCTTGCAGTTATCCGCAGCCATCCCCATCCATTTTGTGGCTTGCCAGCAAGGGGAAAGGACACATCCTTCCTTCCCTGTCCTTTACCCAGTCCGGGTGGTTGCCACAGCAGGCTGCAGCCAGGTGCTGCCCTGGGTGACCGTTGGAGTGTCCTCCCTCCCACAGGCACCCACGGCGGTGGAAGGATGGAGGGGCTGACACAGGCTGGGTGACCGGCCCAGGGTCACCCAGGACCTGGTATCGCAGGTCGTTCACCTCCCACTTCAGCTACAAAGCCCCGTGTTTCCTCTCAAGACTGTGGGTGGAGCAGCCACGTTTTTACCTAAAAAAACCCAAGCAGCTTCATCAGAGTCCATATACGGTTTTGTTCGATTCTGAGGCACCCAAACCAGCTCTTTTAAATGTGGTTTTCTCTCCCCATTATCACAATTAGCCTCGGTAACTGCAGGCACAATTTCAGTCAGTAGGGATTCAGCCCTCCAAGTCATGGGTCTCGTTCAGAAATGTCCGTACCGTGGTGCAGCGTACTTAGACCCAAGCACATGTTCAACCCAAACATGTGCCCCAGTCCTTGACCCCACCATGACACCAAAACCAAGTCCTTGAAGAGCTAAGAAAAGCCTGGTAATAAATAGAAGCTCTTGTTACACCCTGTAGAGTAAGCAGTAACTTTCTGTAAAAAGCATGAAAAATGAACATGAGGGTGGTGACAGTCTGGTGACACATGGTGACTAATTGCCAATAAAGCAATTAGGGAGAAGTCTGGTTCCCAGAGGATGGGGTTGTTATTATCTTGTTCATGGTCAGCCTTACATTAATCACAGGATGGGGATAGACTGCTTCTTTCCCCCCCTCTTCAAAATTAACTAAACCAAATATTTCTGAAAAGAAACAGTCTCAAAATGGCCACATCCTCAGTCTGGTAAATATTCCGTCATATGCAGGGGAGGACAATGTTATCTTCCGTACGGAAAATGCTTAATGTCTGAATGTGTAACCTGGCCCATTTCTCTGGCTGAACACGGGGAAGAACAACTCCTGAAGAAGTCTGAACTCTGTCTCAGGGGCTTGTTCTTGCGCTGCTCGTAGCTCTACCCTTGTCCATCGGGGCGGGTTCAAGGGTGTTTCAGTCAGTTTGCGGTCACCCTGTATTTTCCGGAGCAATAGAAGAATATACAAGCAACTTTCAAGCCAGGAAGCTGAGCCTGGCTAGAACCGTCCCTGGTAACGCTCAGTCCGGCCGGCTGCGCGGCCGGTAGACTCGAGTCAGAGCTCCAAACCCGCGCTCTTCCAGGCTTATGTGTGTAAGAAAGGTGCATCCAAATCTCGCAGCCCTTCACTAATGGGAAAATGCTGACGTAAAAAAAAATTTTTAAAAATTGACATGAAAACATCCAATTATTCCAGATGTCCTGTGACTTTCCCAAACAGCAGTGCACAAATCCGTTGCAGCCGCTCATGGAATATAAATCCACCAGCTGTAAATAAGGAGCATCCCCTGAAGTATTCCCACATGAACAGAAGGAAGACTGGAAGTGTTCAGAAAGCTAATGATTAACCTGAAGGGGAGAATATGGATATGATTATCCCTGCTGGAGAGATGCTGCTTTACCCTCTGGACCCCGCAGAGCTCCACGGCACTAGGTGCTGTAGAAATGCTTCATTTGGCCAGATCGATTTTCCAAACTGAGAGTCACAGTGACAAAGAGAAACCTTAACTTTTATCTGCTGCAGTGATCAAAGGGGTGTTTCTGTTTAACTAACCCGACATGATTTACTTTTGCATATAAGATCTAGCCACATGTGTACATTGAAATCTCCCAACTAGTACAAATAAATTGGGCTCCAAGCTCTGCCCTTAAGGGGGGATAAATCCAATATTCTGAGCAGGCTGTGAGACATAACAGTTAACATTTAGTGTAGACACACATCCATTCACATCATAGCGACCTGCAAAATACGTATGCTAAATACTGGGTCTATTTTGAAATAAATACAAAACAGCTTTCAGGAGAATTGAAAACTATTTCAATTATGAGACACAAAAGCATAAGGAATAAAATGGGGCAGGAATGAAATTAATAGTTTTTAAAGATGCAGTCTGTTCATTATGCCACAATTTACTAACAGACTTTCAGCAGTGAGCAGATTTTTATGAGCTCAGATATTTCAGGCAATGAATGGTTCAGCTTGTACTGTTTTGTGTCACTGACAAATGAATACAAAACTGTTTTTATCTGTCATTTCTGCTTGTTCAATAATCGGTCAATGAACTCACTTGTCCTTTTTTTTTTTCCCCCTACAAAAATATTTCCTTTCTGAATCTTGATTGCTATGATCATTAACTAGGTAAGTGAAACTGAAGTAACGTCAGAGCTGTGGCTCTCCTGGGAGAGCCGCATGACCAGCGAGGAATTGAATGAGGCGCTAAAAGAAGGTCATAGCTAGAAGAAATTCTTCCAGCATCCCTCCAGCAGAGCCAGGAGTCAAGCTGCATTTCCATCCCCGGAAAATGTCGGATTTCCCAGTGTTTCCATTTCAGATCAGAGCGAGCCGGCCACAGCAGCTTTCCACAGAAGGAAATTTTTAAATGCAATTCCAAAGAGCTAAGAGGAATTCTGGGGGGGACATTTTCCAAGCGATTCGTCCAGCCAGTGCCAGAAGCCAGGCAATCGCAGCCTGGCAGGAGACGGGCAGAAGAGCTGGAGCGGCGCTCAGCCTGCCTGGCTCTGGGGAAGCCTCCAAGGCTGCCCAGCGCGGCAGCTCCACTGACCCAGCACAGCCCAGCCGGAACGTTTTCCCTCTTCTTCCCCGGGAACCGAACCTCCCAGCATCCTGAGGTGTCTCCCGAGACTCCTTCCAAAGGCGCAGGAACGTAAACTGTCCTGCGTGCATGTGATGGACGTCCGTCTGTGGTTAGCAGCCACCTCGTGTTCCTCGGTGTCCCTCGGCAGCAACAGGGAGTCGTTTGATGCCAAACCACGGGACGACTCTTCGAGGTCCTGTGGAGCCCCACAGGGACCTCCATGCCCCCCCGGGCCGTATGGTCTGGCTCCTCACCCTCTTCCTCTGTTACACAGCGGCTCAGGAAATGTTTGCCACCTGGAGATACCAACAAACACTGCCCAGACCAAGGGGAGAAAGGGGGGTGAGGGCATTTCTCTGCCTATGCCCCTTTCCCTTTTTGGCTATCCTTTCCCGAAAAAAACCACATCTCTGTAGATGAAAGGCTACAGGCCGTGAAGAAGTAATTTTGCACACCCTGCCCCATTGCCACATTTTCTGCGTGAGAGACTGGCAACATCTTCAGCCCAAACCATCACCCCGTTGGCCAACAGCTGTGTTTTAACGTTGGGATTGGATCAATAGGTGGTTAAAAGATGGGAGACAAAGGACTGCAGAAGTGAAGCAGGGGCCCCCGCTGATGGAGCTTTAACGAGACCTGAGCTGTTCAGCAGATCCGTAAATGAGCCGGGGAAGGGAGCAAACACTGAGGTGGTAAAAAAAAAAGCTTTGTTAAAATTTTTTTTTTTTTTTTTTTTTTTTTTTTTTTCCCTCTGTCAAAGCGAAGCCTGACTGCAAAATTGCCAAAGAATCTCAGGATACTGAGTGCCTGACAGATCAAATAGCAGGCAAAAATCAGTATTGGTAAATGCAATGTAATGCATTTCAGAAAAGAAGCAACTTCAATTATATATTTTTCAACAGTGGGTTCTAAATTAACTATCGCCACCCAGGAAGGAAATGTTGGACTCACTGTGGATAGCCCTCTCAAATTGCCAGATCCCTGCTCACCAGTAATAAAAAAGACAAACTGAGAGTTAAGAAGAGATAAACAACAGACGAGGAGACACCTTTAGGCCACTGTATAAATCCATGCTGTGCTCATAGCTCCACCACTGCAGCCTGCCCTACTTACCCCGTCCTGAAACGAGAAAAACTACTGCAAAGGGTGACGAGGATGCTTTAATGAAAGAGGCAGCCCTTTGTGAAGAGAGATGAAAAAGGCCTGGACTTCCAGCTTGCAGAAAAGAATAACTGAGGGGAAAATCTGGTAGAGGTCTCTAATGAGTGGCAAACAAGAAGTGAACAGGGACAGATGATTAAATTATAACACAGAAGTAAAGAGGCATCCAGTTCAGTGGTCAGGGAGAAGGTTTACACCAACAAAATGAACTGCTCTTTCACATAAGGTACGCTTGCCTTGTGGCACTCGTTACCATAGGATAGGGAAGGTACCAGAAGTATAAACAGCTACATTTTTCCTTTAGATAGTTGAAGGGAAGGCTTTGAATGGGTATTAGCTAAGTTGGCCTGGATTTATTTTCTAGCTGGGTAAGTCAGTATGCCAGCGTGAGGGCAGAGCCATGGAAAGTTCATTTGATGCTTATACATGTTCATGTCTTGTGCAGCCTTTCCCTGATCATCCGCTGCTGGTCACTACGGGGAGCTGGATGATAACTTCAATGAGTATTTCTGCATCCAAAATACTTGCTTTCTCCTCTTGATCTCATGCTTTAGAGCTGTGTCATATACTGGGTGATAGATCTCATTATAATGGTGCCAGGGGATGGGGGTGGAGATGCTGTTTTGCCTGAAAGTATGTCTGGTACTTTAATGGGGCCAGCTTTCCCCAAAAATCCAAGAGAGAGAACCTGGGCACACAGTCCCTCTCCTGGGACTTGGCTGGTGGTGTTTTAATCTCCTGTCGTATGTCCCAGCAGGACAAACTAGGTATCCTTAAGGTTGTTGAATCCTGACCATTTGATCGCTGGCATTTCAGACAAATTTATTTTCAAGACATCACAAAAAGCCTCGCTGTATTGACACAAAGACGACATAGCGACAAACGATACATATGCCATCCTGACTGCAGCGATATGTGGGCCCTCGTCCTTCCACAGCCAGCTTGCCCACTGAGAAGGGCGCTGTGGCTCCCTGAAGCCCCGGCTGTTGTAGCCACCTCACGTGCCATTCACCACCTCTTGGTTGCAAATATTTCACAGAGTCACAGAATGGCTGAGGTTGGAAGGGACACAAATTTCCCAACCCCCTGGGGGTCTCCAAAGGCCCCGCTTGGGGCTGGGGAGCCTTTAGGCTTCCATTGAACTCCACCATGGAGCGTCTCCTTCTGAAGAGTAAAAGTAGAGACAAACGTACCCCGGGCCAGACCTCCCGCTGATATTTAACTCTGACGGTCGCACAGAATGGATGAAGGGCTACGGAGGTCCCTGTGGCCACCCTTCAGACTAGCAAGCGTCCCTGAAATCGGTCCCGTGCAGGAACCCTCTCCATACGCCCTGGTCTTCCCACTCCACCGCCACGAGTCGCTGATGAACGGCTCGGGCTGTGAACAAGCTTTCTCCCCCACAGTATTTCATTCTGCTTTCATTTTGATTTCTGTCTTGTGGAACGTTATCGTATTAGGTGAACCAGAACACATTACAGTCTATGTTTTTCTGTGTACTTTTAGGAAACGCAGCGAGCAGTTGAGAGCGCTGTTAAAACACAGGTAATAATGTCACGAGCACCTCTCTCTGCAGGCCGGAATTTCTTTCCCTCGTGCTCTCAACTGATTGTCAAACTAAGTGTGTACTCTGAATGGCTACATCAGCACCGTGCTATGCTTTGGTTTACCTTTTCTGTAATTTAGAGGACATAAAAGCCTATTAAAAAATGGAAGTAAAACTCCAAGCAGCATTATAATGTGTATTGAATTAAGGGTTAGATAACATGCATCAAACCTGCATGTGTCCTGGCTGGACACACCTTACCTTTCCGTCCCTCTCCTCACCGATCGCTTGGCTCTTTTAGAAGGAGGCAGCTAGCGCCAAAGTACCCTCTGAAAGCCAAGCAGCTCACCAGCCAATGTTCTTTCTGCATAAAACCTATGGATACATGTCACAGCACAAGCATGGGTCCCTCCTTAGTTTCCTTTGGGGTATAAACCGTTAAAGGAGGCAGTTTAACAGCAGCTAATGTACCAGCCGCATATGTCTTCAGGCACAGATGGCAGACAAACAAATAGACATATTGGTATCACTGTACAACACGATTTGCTTACCAGATTGAGGACTGTCAAGTATTTCCACTGCCCACCGTAAAGGAACACTTCAGATGGCCGCTCTTCTGTTCTTACGTTTGTGATTGAATAGGCAACAAAAAAATACCAGCCGAAAGCAAGGCAGTGGTATGTCGCGAGAGTAGAGATTTCCATGCTTTAGCTAAGAGCGAGTGATAATCGGTCCCAAAGCAGCTTTCCTCTTAAGGTCCTCGGTCGCTGCCTGTGGGAAATGGCAGGGCAGGGTGCTTGCTTCGGAGCGGGCTCAGGACACGTCGCCGCTTTGCTCTCCTCGAAAGGAATAATCACAAGGCTGTGAACTTTGCTTCTGTTTGTTTCCCTTTTCACTGTACAGACAGGCTGGGGGGGTGGGGGCTAAGAAGAATAGGCTTATTCCCCAGATTTAAATGCCTTGCTCAAGATTAGCGAAGATTAGTTGCAGAGTTACATAAGTTTTTTGGTTGTTTTTGGTTGGGTTTGGTTTTTTTTTTTTTCCCCCAAAAGTGTGGGGAGCTTTGCTGCTGATTTTGTGTAACGGGCTGTAGTGCTTCAGGTAGCGAGTGAAAACAAGTGGCGTTTTCCTCACTCGGAGCCATGTCTCCAGCTCAGCCCGGGAAGCCTCTGCCACTGGTGTTTATCTTGTGCCAAAGGAAGAAGTGGGAAACATAACGGTCTGTGAAAGAAAATCCCGGTTGATTTGTTGTTAGGCTATGGAGGTGACAAGGAAGCTGAGAGGATTCGTAGGCAAAGGTCCTTGGGGTTGAAGATCACTGCGAGCGTTGACACTTTTTTGTGGGAAAAGGCTCTGCCGCCTTTACGCCGCTCCACACCGCTGGGATCTGTCGGGACGGTGCAGGGCAGGTCGGCCAAACCCGGAGTGGCTTTGAGGCTCCAGCAGGGATGGAGACAGAGGGCAAAGGCTGTGGGTGACCAACCCCGAGCACTGCCTGCTTCTTTACGTGCTGCCATTCACCTTCAGACAGCCCCTCTTCCCTGGCGTGACACTATCGCGCCGTTGGGGCTGGGGTAAAGAAGCGAAGAACCGATACTCACGCCATGACCCTAAAATGAAGTCATCAAAAAGGTTCCCATGGAAATGCTCGCTTTTCCCTCTCCTCCTGCCTCGCCCAGCAGCCCTAATTAGCACTGGAAAACACACACGGCATTCCCTATTGGGGCCAGAGTCTCCATAATTGCAGTGCTGCCAGCAGTAATTGCCACCTGAGCGTTTTGGGGGGGCCGTGGCAGGGAGCGGGTACCATGCCTCAGCCCGCGCCCGGACCTTCCCCACGCAGGATGGGGAGAGGGGTTGCCCTTCTTGCCCCTGCCGAGGCTGGCCCCGTGGGCTGGGATGGGCTTCGGCCAAGCACGCTGCACTTAGGGATCTTTTTTTTTTTTTTCCCCCTTCTAACTGGCCTACAGGCAGCATTGAGCAGTCTGCTATGCTTTGGTTTGTTTTGGTTTTTCTCTTGTATCTTTTTTTTCACCCTGGTACTGGATGTAAGGCTCTGTGTGGGATGATTTCCTATGAACTCAGACAGCAATGTGCATGCATGTTGGGAAACAGCCCTTGTGCTGAGGCACTTCAATATTTTCCTCAGTTTCATTGGCTTCTCCCCTAATTCAGATTGCCCAGGCATTTCAGCCCTCACAATCCCAATGAAATATTTCTGCCTCGCTTAGGAAAAATAGACAGATGTAGGTCCTTTTGTGGCTGTGTGAGTTTGGAGGAGAAAACCCTTTGCCAGAAAAAAAAAAAACCACAACCAAACACGAAGGAAAAAAAGATGGGACTATGTTTTTTGCACTCTGACAATGTCACCAGTCTTTTCCTAGGAAATCTAGCAGAAAAGGGTTTTCAATTGCCCTTACAGACTTTCTGGGAGGGGCAGTGCTGTCATGACCTGCTTCCCCCCCCTCCTGGTCCAGACTGTGCCAAAAGGCAGGAAGAGAACAGGACTATGGCATGGAAGGGCCCTTTTTGTTACTGATTTGCATACCAAAGGCACCAAGCAGCCAGCACTTAAAAAGTTATCTTCACACTCATCTTTCTGAGGTTTTGCTGTAGCGCAGCTTCAAAAATGGGAAGGCCTGTGCTTCTGCTCAGTAGGTGCCCAAATGCATGCAAATGAATGTTAATGTATGCAAAATGGCAAGGTATGTTTTTTCTTTTCTGGAGAATCTTGGCCAGTATGGCTGGGAAGGTGTCAAGTACGGTGACAGTTTTCTGATGTGGACACCTGTCCCACAGACTGAGACCATCTGCTTCTTTTTCCCATATACGAGAAGCAAGATACATATCCTACAGCCCGGATAAGGGATGAAGTTCAGATGTAGAAACATCGCAAAGAAAGGATGAGCACGAGGTAGGATCTGGAGTCCAACACCCCAGACTTCATCGAGTCTTTCTTATTTCACCCCCAGTGTGATGCAGTGAGTGAATACACTGGAAAGGTCGTATCCTATGCCATCTCTCCATGGGTATGAACATCTACTGAAGGGTCAATGGAATAGGAATTCATCCCAGAGCTCTTTGCAGGGGGTGGAAGGAAGCAGAAGCTCAGCAGGGCACGGGCAGAGGTGCTGCCGCAGATGTAGTGGGATGGTTTAGGGAAATACCCTTTTCCATCTGTTTGGTACCACCCCGCAGCGGTGCCCTGCTGCCCCCCTGCAGCTGAGCCACACTCCTGTGCGCTGCCAGTGCCCCCCTCTGCGTCTGCCGCGGGGGCTCACCTGGTTTGAGCAGCAACAGCTGACTTCGTACTGAACCAAACTGGGAGCTCCCACTTAGACCAGTAACATGGTTCAGCTGAAGAGTCGTAATCAGTAACTGGAGCTGTAAATCACCTCGTATACACAAAATGTCCTCTGCTCATGCCCCCTTCTATGGGAGTGAATTCGGCCAGCTTGCCTGACTTTGCACCGAAATGGGTTTGACTCGCTGCTATTACTAGTACGGTTCAGGTACAGAGATGACAGCAAACGGTGTAAACGGGTAAAATCCTAGGCCAACGGGCCTGTTTGCAACACGAGTGTGTGCCTGCACTGCTGGACACGGCATTTCCAGGCTATCAAGTGGTCGCCTGTCCGTCCGCCATTACCGTACAGCGTCAGTTACCGCCCCAGCCTGTCGCTAATGAGGCGCCTGGTAGAAACAAATATTCCTGCTTCCTCATGGGCTGACAGTTTGTTTGGAGAGCAGCTGGGCGCCTTTCAGGTATTCGACAGCGTTTTTGCACGGGCAAGGTTTGCTCTCTGTCAGGGGAGGGTCCCGTGAGGGCAGGAGAAGGGAGAGCCGGGCAGGAGAAGGGAGAGCCGGGCAGGCAATTCCTGGCAGGTGGCAGCGGTTAAGGCAGCTGGGGGGAAAGGATTCAAAGCCAAGCAAAGCCCCCGGAAAGGTTTGGGGGCCTAGAAGGCAAAACCGGGTCTTTGTGCCCAGCTCGCTTTTCTAGGCCCAATCTAAGAACAAGGGCCTGAACCGCAACTGGGACTTGCCGCTGTCAGAGGGATTTTATAGGGTGAAGAAAATACAGAGAGCTGGGTAAGTACTTTTTTCTTCTAGTTTTCTGACACTTGTTTCTATCCTTAATGCAGTTCTATTACTTTGTGTGTGGATTCCATAATTTATTTGCTTTTAATTTCCTGCTGTTGTAAGCTGGCTTGTGTTAAGGGCGGCAGTCCTGGAGAGCGGGGCCCGGGGCCTTACGTTCCCAGACTCCGTGCCTGCTACCCGCAGGTAACGCAGGGCTCTGTGAGGAAAAAGCGTTTTCTGGATCAGCGCTAGCCAAGAAAGCTTTTTAGCACGTAGTGTGAGGCTGGCTGAGCTCTGTGTCCCTGGGCACGTCTGTACCGATTCGTTCTGTGACCGTCCCGATGTGTGGAATGAAGCATAATTGACAAAACTGCAAGCCTGGCATAGTCTGCTCTGGGCATCCTCAGATCCTGAGGCAAACTCCCCCAAAATCATGTAGTACAATTCACAAGATTTAATTCTCTCTGGTTTTGTCTGTCTTAGGCTTTAGTAGCTTCCAGGGGTCTGAGTTTTCTGATTCTTCTTCACAGCTGTGTGAGTGACAAGTATAAAAATGTTTTAACTGCTAATAAAAGCTGAGGGCCTTGCCCAGTGGTGCAGCAGTGATCACGACAACTAATGAAGATTGATAAAAATATCCTGAGATATTTTGCTAAAAATCTGAGAATGGGCAATGCTGCAACATTCACCTGCTATGTATGGCAAGCAGGAAAGTTATACAGTTGAAAGACAGCTTATGCATCCTCCTGCATGGGCCTCTCCTCTTTATCCTGTGTGAGATTTATTTTTAAAATATATGTTTTTTAAGGAGAAGACAGGAAGTGGTTTATCTCATCTTGATATGTTTGTTCTGAATGGTTTTTAAAAGTTGTTCTAAAATGCCAAAATCTGGGGGGGGGGTTGAGTCCCAGAGAAGACCGCTGCACAAGCAGGAACTGCATTCGGTAGTTACAAGTACTTGCTCAGATTTCAGTGTTTCTCCCTCCTATTGGGTTCCCTTGGCTTTTAAACTATATATTTATTCAGACTACTAAATGAAATGTCACTTTGATCCAGAAACAAAACTTCCTGTGTAACAGTGACTTGACGTTTCTGACTTTCTTAAGTGAATGAAAATGATGGCATTAATCAAAACAAAACCTTTTCAGCTAACAAATTTGGTTCTAAAAGTAGGTATGTTGAAATTAAGAAACATTTGATTGGAAAAATGCTTGCCTATCTCATTATCTCCACCTCGTAGTGGAAATGATTAATTGTTTGTCTTATCACCAAACCCCAGTAGCGTCTTCTCCTTTGGCAAGGGGAATATTGCTTAGGGAAAAAAAGGCATGGTTTTCATTGATTCTCAACAGCTTCCTAGAGCTTGTATACTTTTTGAAGAGATACCTAACATTGCTTCTTAATTTTACCTTTCCCTTTTTCTGTCAGAAATGCAAAATTAATCTTTGACCATTTAGAAAGATTGTGTACAAATATCCTGAAGTTCAGAGTAAAACAAACACTTATACCACAGAGTACTAGGGAAGAAAAGCTGAGGTATTTTTTTTTAGATCTCGGATACACAAGGTGTGACTGATTCTCATTAGACTCGATCTTGCTAGATAATTGTGGTGGGCAAGCTAAG